AAGGTTGAGGTTCTTCTCTGTCTGCTGGAGATGCTCAAAGCCTCTGCTCTGGCAACACGTCCACTCACCTTACAGGTCAGGAATATCCAGGTGCAAAAAATCCTTCAGCTTGTCAAAAGCACTCAGCTGACTTTAAAGCCCAAATTACTCACTTTTTTTTTCCTCCCTTAATTTCTCTTTTTAATAGTGGCTGCCTGTCTGCTGCTGCCCCTACTTTAAAACAAAATAACCAGCCTCCAGCAACCTTTCAGAACAGATCTGTAAAACTATCCAACTGACTCTAACAAGCAAAGGCAAGACTGTGAGAAACCTGCTGGCTTTCTCTTCGTGGATTGGATCATCTTTAGGGAATGCAAGACTGGCATTTAAAAATGTAGCCTTTGAACTGCTCCTTTTTTTTGTGATAAAGCTGGTCCCCGGGACATTGGAGGGGTGACGACAGCAGATGCTGTGATGAGTCAGTGCAGAGGCAGCCGTGGGATAGATATGGGGTCAGTGAAAGGGTACACTTGCTGGACGGTGCTCAGCCAAAAAGGTTTGGATTTTATCTTTGGGCAAGAAATGAGGCCAGCGAGGAAGGAATGATTTATTTGTCCCTATTTTTCTTGTCAGACTCCAGGTTAGATGACTTGGTTTGAACTTTGGGAAAAGAATAATCACTAGATTTATCTACATCTCTAGGAACACAGACTTCATTTTCTGGCCTGCCTATATTATTGATTTACCCAGCTTCTCACTGCTACATTTTTGTTCTGTGTTGCCCAAACAGATGGGTTCCTTTTCTTTGCTATTGTGAGTAGAGACAGAGGCAAATAAATAGGCACTTGTGCTCTGTTGTGTGGTTACCTAGAGAGGCTGTTGTTTGCAAAGGCTGTACCAGGACACAAATAGCCTCCTTTGGTGTAGCCTAGAGATGCACTTCATTAAAAATACTGCTGTAGGGTTCCCCACACTGCCTGTCAATGTTTATGATTGGAGCCGAGTGCGGCAGCAGTGGCAGCACCCACCAAAGCAGAACTGATCAAAAGTGCTGTAAGATACTGACATTTCAGAAGAAAGGAGGAGCAAAATGTATAAGCTCTCCTCCTCTCCCAATTTTCTAAGCTATTGTTCCTTTAGATGTTTGAATAAATAAAGGAAAAGACACTGCTCTGGAGGAAAAGGCAGCTGTTTCATAACGGCTCACATGCACACAAATACAATGTCCAGCTTTCTCCCCAGTCCTATGAGTAGACCCAGACATTTGATACACATTACCCTGCACCACAAAAAGAGTCGCTGCTCGTGGTTTTACAGGGGCTGGATGCTAGTTTGGGGAGTTTCCTCACAGACCACGTGGAAGCAGGGACTGTAGCTGCCAGCTCTCAAAGCCAAGTCCGGCCCTGCCTCCCAGAGGGAGGGCACCAGCAAAAATGCTGGAATGGAAAGACATCCCTGGCTGTCACCTGTGAATCTCCCCGGAGCAGAGCCTGCCCATAGGGCTGATGGCCATGTTGGGTCCTGGTCCAGGACTAGGCAACATGAATAAGATACCAGTGTAGCTGTTGTAGACTCAGTCCCTGATAAAAATGTGGAGATCATTAAAGATGCATGCCCCTGCTTGTCCAGGTTCAAGCTGCTTTTAAAATAAAGTGTAGGGATCTCAGAGCTGGGTCATACAAAATAAAACTGAGTCTGAGAGCAAGAATTGCCTTGTGGTGGAAAACAGTTGTGTGATGCTGGTCACAGCAGCCCTTCAGCCCAAAGAGTCCAACCAGGATTTAGGGTTGCAAAGAGGAGGTTCAGGGCATTGGAGTGGTACAGAGAAAGACTGAAAATTATAAAAACATCTCAGGCACTTCAGAAGAAATGCCCAAAGAGAAATGCCTCCACTGAACACAAGGTTATAACCACATGACAATAATAACAGCCACAACCAGAGCAGTGATGTAGCTTTGCATTTCTGAGCAGCATTCTCTTCCAAGGAGAAGGTCTAAGCTTCCTTGGATACCATGTGAGCTTCAGGTCTCAATCAGTCTGCCTTTGTTTTGCATGCCAGAGTCTCTGCAAGGACTTTGGTGCTCTCTTCCACTGGTTGTTAGTACTTGGGTATTTAAGAGATGGGCAGCAGCATCCCTTCAGGAGTCATACCTGCTGCTCATGCCGTTCCTGCATAGCATTTGGGGCATCAGATGTTCTACCTCATTCAATTAAAAGTGTCCCAGGATAAAAATACTGCCATTTGCTTTCTGCTTTTTCAAGAATAAAGCTTGCATTTGGAGTGCAGATGACAGCGGTGCCATCCAAACAGGAGAGGAGAGACTCCTGAAGGTGTTGAGCAGACAGGAGCAACGCTCAGCAGCTGCAGCACAGGGAGAAGGCAAGCAGCATGGGATCATACCATTTTTACAGTCCCTATTCTGCCTTTAATTACAATCTTAAGTGATGGCTAATAAAGGTGATCCAAAACAAATAAATTGAGCTGCTGCTCTAATTAAGCGGCTTTTGCTGCATGCAATGAGCCAGACCCATTTGTGTCATAGTTCAGCAGAAGTCAGAAGGGTTCACAAGGGATCCATTTGAATTGCATCTGAACTGCTTCAAGGAGGAAAAGTCAGTGTTGACCATCTTGTTTCCTACGCTGCTAGCCAAGAAACACCAGTCCATTCCCCAGACAGTCACCCTGGGCAGGGACACAGTCTTTCACATATACTTCATTTGATTGCGTCTGCCTTTACAGCAAGTACATTAAGATGACACCTTCCATTGCTTATGGAAGGTAAGCTTGAAGCTGTTGGGAAGCAGTGAATTGTTTTTCTGGCCAGATAATAATACAATAATAACACTTCATGGCTGTGCCCCTGTTTTTTAACCAGCCCAGTACAGCAGAGGCAAGAGGCATTTACTACTGGATGTATGCTGATTTGATGGATGACATGAGCTGAGACACCCTGTGGCAAATTTCAGCAAAAGGCTTTTCAGGTCATCCACTTCATCTCACAGGTAGGGTCTGATGCCTGAGAAGGGCAGATGTGAAGGACAGGATATACGGAGAGAGCCCACACCGTGACTGCCCTGGAGATGTACAACTTTAATTTCAGTAGCCTGAACTCCCAAACCACAGCTAATCCTTTCCAGATGTGCAGTGCCCAGTCTTCTCTGCAGGTACAGTCCAGAATGTTTAGGGCTCCCTGTGCAGGGGCACAATTTTTTGCCTGAGAAATACTGAGTGTGTGGGAGATACATAGGATATCTTTCCTCCCTCCTCTGTATCTTCCATGGAAGTGTGTAGTCTTAGCACTGTATCTTCTGTGACCACAGCTGATATATTAAAATCTACTTGTCCTGGAGAAGAGCCAGTACATGATCCTTTTGCATGTACATTTTGCATTTGCATGTAATATTACAAGATGAGATCTTGTAATAACATGCCACAGAATATCTGAAAATGGTACCAGCGTTCAGCTTGAGCCTGCTCCCTTCTCCTTCCTATCACCATAACACACCAGGGCTAGTGGACATGACCCTGGTAAGAAAGGCATTCTCTCCTTAGGATATTAAAATACCATTTATTGGAGCTAATCCTAGAGGAAAAAAGAGAATGGAAGAGTAAATCTCACATCCATTCAGATGCCTGGCACTCCGGGTTGTGCAACATCAGCTGGACCTCCCATCAGGGCACAGCACCCTGCACAGATCTTGTCTGTCTGTCCTGTCACCAATGTTTTGGTCTTTAGATCTCTAGCAGGATTTTTTTAGAAGAAACCACCTCTGTTCCTCATCCCCAAGTGCCAAACAAATGAGTGGTCACATGCAAGCATGTTGTTTCACTTGAAGATAAAGACAAGGATGTGCAGGTGGTGGGATCACCAGTGCCAAGTGGGAGCTGCCTCTGGTATGATTAGCCAGCAAAATTTCCCCCATGCCGAGGGATACACATGGGCTGGAAAGCCATGTCGTATGTGTGACACAGCCCTGTGCCTTTGCAGGGTAACTGCTATGTGGACCCGTAACTGCTGGACGTACCATGGTCTTCCTCTTAGGGTCACTGCAGCAACAAAAAGGCACACTGATTTCTCTAAACCCAAATTTGTTGTCTCATACTCCCTCCCCCACATGCATTCCCATCCGCTTGCCAGACAGAGGGTTATTATAAGATGTTTCAGCCCAAGAAGCACATTATTTTATCGGAAAATACTTTTCTCTGAAAATCATGCACAAACAACAGTGCAGCTTTGGAGTGGGAGATCCCCTGAGGGGAAAGGATGAGCTTGTGGTTAAACCATGGGATGGAGAGTCAGCAGATCAGGGTTTCTCATCCTCTGTCTCTGTGAGCTTTGACTCACCCTGTGGCCCCTGCGTGGTTCATATGCATGTTCAATTTCCCCATCTGGAAAACCACTGTGATGAGACGCTACGATGGCAGCATGCAGCCATTTATAGCTGCTGGGAACCACCATGTGCTCCTGCAAAGGCACACTCTCTCACCACAGATATCAAGTCTTTGGGATGCAAAATGCTCCTCTGCAAAGTTTCCACCATTATGGTTCACCAGAGCTGCAGAGATCTACTTTGATATTTAAATATTTACTCAGGATTTAAATGTTTACCCAATACTAAAAGTGTCAGCCTGTGCTTGATGCCCATTCACGTGGGGATGCAAAGCCACGTGGGCAGCCATTTCTGCCACGGGTACAGGGACACCGCTGCCTCCCCAGCTGCCCTGAGGTGGGATGGGGTGTGGGGTGGTCTGGAAGCTCCTGAGGCACCCTTTCTTTTCCCGCATTCCCTTCCCCTATCCATTCCTCTCTCTTCTTCAGCACCCACTGTCTCCCCCAGGCCTGCCTGCAGCTCAGCCCCAAGGTAGGGCTTCCTTCACTTCCCCCCAAACCCAGCACCGAAGATCTTTGCTCCCATACCACCTTGCTGGAGCATTCCCGAGATCCTCCTTGGCTTTATGAAATGATGCCCTAGTGAGAGGATGGTACAGTTTTACCTCCTGCAGGCTCTTGTCTTTCAGGATGGGCATTCTGGGAGAAGCCTCCTGGAGAGAAGGTGCTCAGAGCTACCAAACCACACAGTGCATCCAGCTGGCAAAGCCCCTGGTCATGTGGGATGTCCTATCTCCTCCTCTGCAGCCCCACCAGGTACAGTGATCACTGCAAAGGCTTGTGGCATTTGATGGACCTCCAAGAATCACCTAATGCCCCTAATCTGGAGAAGTAAATCAAGTCACATTCCTTGGGTGAGTTTGTGCCTGCTCTGCCTGATCTGCTCTCGTCTACAGGATCTTTTGTTCTTCTGTCCCCTCTGCAAACACTACTGTCAGTCAGTGTAGGAGCCACCAGCTTCATGTTCTGGAGAAAGCCCTGCTCTGGGAATCTGACAGTACATCCAGCCCCCTCTCTGCTTGCCCTGCCCTGTCCATTTGCCCTAAAACTCTCCAAAACACAAGGGGCTGCCTTTTTATGCAGTATTTGGGCAACACCTTACAAAAGCATAGGCCCTGCTTTCAACTCAGCTCTGAAATGCTACATTAGCAAGAGCAATAGAGTCACCTCTCCTGACCAATACATCTTCAGGCTCTTCACAGAGGAGAAGAGGGTATTTGCCTCCCTCCTACAAGTGTGGAACTGAACTTCCTTACTTGTGAACTGAACTTGCACAAGGGACTTGTCCAAGATCCCCAGACAGAGAAGCAGCAGTGGAGCCAGAAGATCTCCGAAGTCCCATCCCAGTTAAGTTGGCAAAGAACGGGACATACAAACAAACAAAGATTATGTACAGGTTGCAAAAGGTATAGAAGACAGAAGGAAAGAGGAAGGTTCAGTTCAGGATGCAAAGCAGCATGATGTTCAGATCTCACCCTCCTTCCAGATGTTATTTCCAGTATCTGCCAGTCCATCCCAACATACACCCCTATTGTGATGCTGGAGTGTTCAGTACGTATTTGCCATGTCCTTGAAAGAAAAGAGCTCTGCAAAAGTGAGGTTTTCCCTAATTACTTGCACTGAGGAAAGGGAGTGACAAGCTCATCAACAGGGCCTCACATCTGCCTGCACCAAGGAGATAAAATCCACAGAAGTATCCTGTAATGATCAACATAGACTGAAAGAATAAACATCCCAAATTGAAGTGTAGCACAAAACAGTTCCAGCATGATAACTGCTCCTCAGTGCATGCTGTCCATTTTTTACCAGGCCTCATGGGACAGCATCCCAAGGGAGAACCCACACAGCCATAGCAAAACCAGTTGTTGTCCCAATTTCATCTGCTTGAGACCGTGACCTCATAACTTAGAGAGTTTTTTGAAGAGACGGGTCAGCACAGTCAGTGTGGCAGCTAGAGAGATCAGGATTTGGTTTGCTGCCTCAGGGCAGTGTCTCTAAAACTCTTCTGCTGCTGTGGGATGGGAGGGAGTTAATGTTTGTCCCCTTCCCTATTGCAGGTGCCAGTGGGTGTCCATTACTGTGGGTTAAATTTTGCTGGTATCTTGGCCTGGCAGGGATTGTATCAGGAAAATCATGCTCTTCCCTTCACTCCTGGTGAGAAGGTGACTGGTCTGTGCAGAAAGTGTAGAGTGACCAAAATGAACTCACGTATTAAATTTTCATTTGGTTAAGAGCTGGGAAATGAAGGCCACTGCAGGTAAACCAGAGGCTCACTTAAGGCATCTTCTTAGAGCCGACAAAGCCACCACATTTTAACATTCTCTCTGAAAAAACGCAATGTAAATTATTTTGCATTTTCACAGAAGCCTGCGAATAGCATTCATGCTAGTCTGGGAAGAGCTACAGTAAATATTAATCTTGCCTGAGAGCTAAGAAAGCCAAAGCATAGAGGTTTTGAGCAGGGCTGGGTTCTTCTGCCCTAAGCCTAGAGTTCCTCAGTGCTGCAGTAACTCACATAAGCACATGAGAGAGCCTAGCATTGTCGGTAGGGCTGCCAGTCTGTCTCTGGGCAGACGTGCCACCCTGGCACCCTTCAGCCTGGCGTGGACACAGGGACTGTTCCCCTGCTGAAGGCATATCCTCAATCCTTGCAGAAAAACCCTCCAGCCCTCAAGCGCTGCATTTTTCAGTTCATGGGCGATGCTTACGTGGTCCTTCTCGCACCAAGTCCTTCAGGCTGAGCTATCTCCTTTGGCTTTCCAGTCCAGGAGTGTTGTGTTTAGTGCCTCAGTCATAATTCTGAAAGTCCAAAGGCGTGAAAACACACAGAATCATTCAGCTTGGAGAAGACCCTTGGGATCATCGAGTCCAACCACCAGCCTTACTCTACAAGTTCTCCCCTATATCATATCCCTCAACATCTCATCTAAACCACCCTTAAACACATCCAGGGATGGTGACTCCACCTCCTCCCTGGGCAGCCTATTCCACTCTCTGACCACTCTTTCTGTGAAAAATTTTTTCCTCCCGTCCACTCTGAACCTCCCCTGTTGCAGTTTAAAGCCATTCCCTCTTGTTCTGTCACTTCGTGAGAAGAGACCAGCACCAACCTCTCTACAATGTCCTTTCAGGGAGCTGTAGAGAGTGATGAGGTCTCCCCTCAGCCTTCTCCTCCTCAAACTAAACAGTCCCAGCTCCTTCAATCGCTCCTCATAGGATCTGTTCCCCAGGCCCTTCCCCGGCTTTGTTACCCTCCTCTGCACTCGCTCCAGCCCCTCGAGATCTCTCTCGTATTGACGTGCCCAAAACTGGACACAACACTCCAGGTGTGGCCTCACCTCACCTTTCCCTTTCCCTTCACCTCCTTTCCCCTGCAAAAACATACTGGTATTCCTCATTAAAAGAAATCCCTACCTAGTGAAGCAAGGGGTTGCTTGTCTGCTGGGCTGATGCTGCCATCTTCTGCCCACCCGGTGCTTTGCTGCCGAAAACATCCCCAGCCCTCGGCCCAAGGACCCGGCCACGTGCAAGGTAAAGGGGATAAGGAAATTACAGGACTGTAAGAATTTAGGAACGGCCTCATGGTCCTTCACCGGTCGCTGTGAGTGGAGATCCAGATGTATGTCCTGGAGGTTGTCCTCTTCAAGCCTTTGCATCGTGGTTGCGGGTGCAAGCGCAGGGTGCTGAGCTCTGCCGGATGGAGAAGGCATAGGCTCTGTGTGAGGAATCACACTCAAAAGATGAAGCGGCTAAATACATGCAGTTAATGCAATTGCTAAGTGGACTGTTATTAGACACAGCTTGAGCTGTTCACAGTTCTTCCTGAAAACGCTGGAAAATCAAATGTTTAATTCAGAGAGAACAGCAGGACTGCATGATTTCTCTCCTGATACCCATCAAATAAGATTTTTTTTGGCAGGGATACAGAGTAATTGGTGTAACTGGCATTAAAGCTATGGCAGCAGAGTGTGTCACTGATACAGAGCGTTTGCTTTCCAAAACAGCAAAAGACTTTTGTCTTTTTGTTCAGAGCTTTAGTTCTGCCAGAGCCGCTGCCTCACAACCTTCCAATTACTTTTTCCCTTCCCCTGGCACCACTGGAAGAGTGGGATGCTTGGGGGGAGTTTTTCCAAACAGTGGGTTGTTAAAAGATGTAAAAACTGTTCAAACAAACCTTTCCACATACCAAGCCTCCACGATGCCTTGCCATGGGTTCAGTTTAGCAGAGCCTCAGCCCCATCCCTCCTTGGGACTATTTGTATTGGAGGTCTTTGTAGGCAGATGCTGTGGCCAATCCTTGAAAACGTTGCATGAGGATGCGGTGACATTGCCAACCACCTGTGGCACAGCCTCACTGGTTCTCTACCGTAGTTTCAGCTGGGGTAAGTGGCAGCAGCAGCAACAGCCAGAGAGTAGCACATGAAGCATAACTCCAAACCCAGGCATCTCAGTTGTCAGAAATGTTGTGGCATCTTGTCTCTGCTGCACACACATGTGTAAACTGGGGCAGATTATTTCAGGTTTGTGTCTTGATCTTCCCTCCCTCTAAGTGGGGGGAAAGTGTGCAGATGCCATGGAGGTGAGGATTGCACAGCATCCAGGTGGGGTGTAGCCAGCGGGAGATGTGCTCAGCAGCCCTGACCTGTTGAATTTCCACAGTATTAAATTGTCAGGGCCTGCAGGAAAGGCAACTCTTATAAACTAAACCCACATAGATACAGCACGAACTTCAAAACTGTTCAACATGAACTTTCTGCATAGAATTTGATGTTCCTAGTGAATCTGTTCAGAGCTGACAGACTTTATAAACCACAGGCCACATGCAGCACTGAATTAACTCCCCATTTCCCTCTCTGGGAAGTGTCCCGAGTGATGTTTCAAGCTGAGCTTGCTGTCCACGTGCATCTCTTGGGCAGTAGCTCTGGTTGGGAGGAGCGGGATCGTACCACTGCACCATGGCTAGGGAGCCGTGCAGCGGATGCCTGTAACTCACTGGAATTTCAGTAGCAGCTGAAATGCTGAGTTCTTCGCTCCTCTGAAATATGGAAATGTCACTAGACAAAACCATAGAGATTAAGCAACTTTCTGATGTTCATATGGAGAGACAGGAGCAGAGGTGGGGACAGCCTGCAGAAATCACATCTACACCTTGATTTGTGCAATCCTCCTCCCCAGACCCGCAGCAGAGGCAATTACACGGTCTGTCTGAACAGTACATGAGTGACATTTTCTCCTCAGCCTGGAGTTAATGTACTTCTGCTTGTAAAGTCAGCAGGCAAACGCAGATCCTTGCTTAGCAGATCATTTCACTTTGCAACATCAAAGCTTTGTGCTGGGGCAGACCCAGCGCCTTGTGTTTGGCAGAACCTAGGGAGGGGACAGACCTCCTTGCCAGAGGTACCCCTTGATTGGCTGCAGCACCCAGCACATCCCTGATGGCAGGGGGGATTCTTATGGCCTGGAAACATATTGTCCCTTTCAGAAACCAATGACATGTTTTTCTGCTGTGCTATATACATATACACATTTTAAACATATACAGAAAAAGAGCTGGGTCACTGACACCAACTTTCCATTTGCCATATATAAAATAAGAGAAATGTACTTCCAGCTTGTGATGCTCTGTGCTTTTCTGAGCAGAGCAGCTTTCACACTGGGTGGTGGGTTTTCCTTTGGTCTCAGGTGATAGCAGCAGCTGGAAGTGACCCCAAATATGAGCTGGCTTAGAAGAGTGGCGTGAGCCATGGCATGGGCTACAGTTGGAGCAGACAGGAGGTGAAGAAGCTCACAAGCAGCAGAGGGATCAATGTGACCATCAAGGCTGCCAGCAGGGACATTCTCAAGGCAGCTCTTCAAAGATGCACTGAAGTAAAAGCCCTGCCTTGCTATGCCTTATGACAAACCTGTGCAAGCACAGGTGATGCTGTTGACATGTTTGAAGGCTTTGCTGCCCTTGGGGGAAGGTTAAGCAAACCCGCTGGGCTCTGTTGGCAGAGACACAGGCAAGGGGAGGTGGTTTTAGGGTTCAGTTGCAGCTGACCACCTCCTCAGGGCAATGCCTGTGCCAAAGCCCCCTGTGCACACAGAAGGGCTATGGGTAGGACAGGACATTGGCTTGGTGGGTTTTTTTGTGTTTTTTTTTTTTCGTTTGTTTGTTTGGTTGGTTTTTTTGTTGTTGTTGTTTTGGTTTTTTTTTTTATGTTTTTAAGTATGTTCTCTGAAAACTATCACTAAAGTACAACAGCCCAGCCCAGAGATTTCCATACCTGAAAACCCAGCATCTGCCGCTATTCGGCCCTCCTCAGTGTGCAAGTACTGTCTCAAGACAAGGTGCGAGACCTCTACTAGATCTGCTTTGTTTCCTCCCTCTCCTTGCAGGTTGGCATTGTGAGGATGGATGTGGATTTTGCCAAAGGAAAAATCCCCTCAATGCTCACTAATCTGCTGTTTCCAAAAAAACATGTCAGCCATGGGAGCATCCTGAGTCTATACCAGGAAGTTGACTTCCTCATTTTTTCCTCTGCTATCTCCTCCATTCCCCAACAATGCCCAGAAAGGAATATCAACCCCGTGTTGAAACACTCTTCAAACTAGAAGAGGTAAGTGTGGAACAGATTCCTTAAGATTATTTTAGCAAAGCTCTTTTTTGTAGCTAGAAACAAGCTCTTGTATGCCGTTAGGCCTCTGGCACAGAAGCCTCCAGAGTCCTGCTTCTCTAAGAAACAAAAATATTAAATCAAGAAATCTCATTTTCCCCTCACCCTTTTTAATCTTCTTTCATTGGGTTTGAGCCAGGCAGCCGTTAACTCCTGGTTCCGTACTGCAGGGCCAGAACTGTGACATGCTCAATGGCAAAGTCACACAAAACCCCATTCACTCCCATCCCAGAGAGTTTGTGTTCTTAAAGAAGAGTGTGCTGGGGTAATATTCTAAAGGAGTAGATTAGTGGATCCTGATGTGTCTTCATTTACACTTTCCCTGGAGCACTGCTGAAGGTGTTCAAAACACTTTATTGAAGGTGAAAAAACACTTTTTTTCTCATTCGATGTTATTTTAATCCTTAAATAACAGCTCAACTCAGAAATATTTACATAGCCATCATCCAGCACATTTAGGGATGATGTAAAGCAGTGGTCTGATCCTGTTATTTCAATCCCACCAGTGGATCCCAGGGATGGAAAGCCCAGACTCAAATGCAGACTTGCCCCATGCATCCTGCCCCTTCCTTCCCTGCAAAGCCCTGCCCCAACGGCCATCACTCTAGACACCCAGGGCTTTGTGTTTGCAGGTTTACAAAGCCTCCAACGCTGTGCTCCAGTGCAATCCACAGGAAATGTCATTATCTCCATGAAGTAAATATGCTGTTTCTCCAGGACTCAGCCTCCCACTCTTTCCCTGCCCTGAAGAGGAGATTCTCCAAGCTCCCACATCAAAAGTGGACAAGCCAAATGAGTCAGGGACACAACTTGATTATGTCAGTTTAAGAAACTGCTTACTGTCAGCTGGACAGGGGTAGCCGTTGATGGCTGTGTGCTTTTAGCCTGTCCCCTTTCTGGGCTTAAGCACCAACTGGGAATGCTCCTGCCAAGGCTCAGAGCTCTACAGCCCAAGTCAGAGGGAAAACTTTTGTAGCCACCACCGAGTTGTGTGGCTGATGCTTTGCTTCATGCCTTCACACAGCCCAGGGGACCCAATAGTACTGTCAGGAATTTCTTTCTCTATGATAAATCAGAGGATCCCTCAGCATCAAGCATACCTTGTGAGTGTTCTGTATTACCTCAGCTACAGGAGCAGTAATTTTGACCAGATTGCCTGCCCTCTCAGAATCCTGAATAACTTTACACATCACTCAAAATCTGACCCCACAATATTTCTCTGTGGCAAAGTGTCATGTGTATAGTCCTGGCATAAGCTGACTTCTTGCACAGCTTGTCCAACTTCATCAGTAGGGCACTGACCACTTTTCCTTTATTGACAACAGCCTAATGCAATGTGTTGGCTGTGCTTATTGATTATAGAAGCAGAGAAAAGTAGCTCACTTTCAGCTTCTTTTTGCAGTTGGAGCTGTACAAAGAGCAACTGAGGCTAATCAGGGTCTCACTGATACCCATTTGGGAGCCACTGCTGTAGGACATTGGAGCAGTGCCCCACCAGGCGTTCAGTTTGACAGAAAGGTCTGATCTGAAACGAGGACCAAAATGAGAAAGACATGAGTGGATGGATAAAGGTTTGCATAGGGAATTAGGTCACTAGCCCATCCTGCCTCCAGCAGTGACCAGCAAGGAAGGGAGACTGCTCTACTGCCTTCGTTCCACCTTGCTCACCCATGTCCCCAGGCATTTCTGCCTGGGAAGGAGGAGTTTGCTCTTGACCCTGCATCAGTTCAGCTTGGTCCCAGGAGGGGCAATTACAGATACTGTTACCTTCATAAGCCTCACTGCAAGCAAAAGGAATCTAAAACTCTGGTAACAAGCTGGCTATAGTCTTTGAAGCTTAACGAGAGACTTGAACAATGAACTGCAGAGACACAATAGTCAAACCATTTCACGTGACAGTACTTAAATTTGTCTGTGCTGTGCCCTGCTGTTCCAGCATTGCTTAGACTCTGGTTACACAAGCCACTTTGGCATTGCTTGTGATTACAAAGTGCTTCCTTTGCCGCAATAGCCCTCCTGGCTTTCTTAGAATGCCTTTATTATGGCAGCAATGCCAGTCCTGCTTTGCAGTGCCTTAGACCCTGCAGGAAGTTATTTAACTCTCATCCGTCCTTTAAAAGCTTTTCAAATTCATCATGTTATCCACAGCTTCTTATTGCAGAAGAAAATAAATAGTTTCTTAGCTTCTTTCACTGGTAATAGCAGAAAATGGCCTATTGTAGCAAAGAATTTGTCCAAATAAGCTGGGAGCTGTAGCTGTCCTGTAGATAACATCCAGCTCATTTTAGTGTCTTGGAAGCACTCTACAAGCATCCACAATTGAAGAATCATTGTATTTCAGGTAAATGTGCTGCTTAAAGTTAACAGTCAGCATAGACCACTGAACAATGGTTTCATTTTATATATTCAAGCTGCCCCCTAAGTTATTAATAACACTTAAAGTTGGTAGTCTGATGGTAGTAAAGTAGGGCAATGGTGGAAGACCAGGACCCTTACCCTGTTGCACCCACTGAGCTTACAGCAGTGTTTAAGGACTTTAACATGTTAAACCTTGGTCATCATGCTTCCATCCATTTGCTTTGTTGAAATAGCATATTTGGTGTTTTCAGGTCATGCCACAGAAGGTTCCACAGTTTAGTTATATACTATGCATACAGAATGCCTAAATAAACAGATTTTAAGTCTACCTGACATTATTTTTTAATATATTATTACACTTAAAACAAGTCCCTCACCACTGAGTGCTGCTTACATCTGTCACATCTTCTCTTGATCTTCCTTTGCCCAAGTAGAAGAGACCTTAGGCCTTTAGGGATCCCCATACCTTACAGCTTTATCTCATCAAGGACAAGGAAACTTTTCAAAGGCTTCTGTTCCATTCTCACAAATATTTATATTAAGTAAAATAATAAGCATCTTTATTATTGCAAAGTTCTGGATCACTTTTCATGTTTTAGCCTCTAATTCTTGATCTGATATATAGCTTCAAAAATAGTTTCATTATAGTTCTATCTTGCTCAGCAGACAGCCCTACAGTAGAGATGCACCTTTTCCTGCTCTACCTTTCCATAAGCTCTTGCTAGGCCTCTGAGTGCCTTAATATAGCTACAGTGACCCTGACTGGCCTCATTTGAGCATCCCCATCCATGGGCCTGGGGATCTATATAAACTCAGCCTGGGAGCTTTATTTTTTTCCTAAACTATGTTGTAGAAATACTAGCCTCTAACTAAGCCTAGCTAGTCTTAGAGCCTGCTGTGCTGGACCTAGCTGAGTGTGTTTGACCTGAGTACTTTCTCTGGACCTGGTTCTGACCTGTAGACTGACTTGCCAGATGGACTTTAGACTCACCTGATGACTTTCAGCGTTCTTTCCTCTAGGTCCTCCAGCTCTTAGAGGAGGTAAAATCTCCTTTGCTACTTGTTTTTATATTCTAGTCTTAGTAGTTTGTGGGACTACAACAGAAGATTGTCAAGAAGGATTGTAAACATACTCAAGTGACTTGCAGCTGGGGTGCCAAAACCCACATATATCACACTAATTGTTGCTTAGCTCTGCATGCTTGATGGGCAGAATGTCTGCAATTAGATAACATAGACCTGTGAGAGACTCAGAGACACCCTACTGAACATCCTTGAGATTCCTGCCCTGCTGTGGGAAAGATCAAAGCACAGTGGAAAAGCACACCTGCAAAAATCCCCGATATACAGATGAAAGCAACAGATTTGAGATCTTTTTCCTTCTTTGCCTCTATGGCTAGCAAGGACTGAGCTCTACAGTGCCTGCATCCCTGCTCGCGTGCCTCTGTCTGGGTGTTGCTGCAGACATCCTCTGGGTTGTGAGGTAACAGGAATATATTTACTATTTGTATTTCATCCATGGTTTTGTGGTTGTTCCTGTGCTGGCTCACATCCAGTTGGTTGTTTGTTATTCTTGCTGAAGATCCTCCACCATTCAGGTGGGTCCTGCATAACAGTTTTCCTAGATCAGCAGCATTTGGTTGTCTTGGTGTCTTCCCTTTGTATGAGGAGCTGTGGCAGTACTAGTCTTTCCCTTGCCTTGGCTCTGTGGGGTCTGCTGCCTCTCTGCACCCATGTCTAGGTGGTGGGAGGCACTCTTGGGACTTGCTTCCCACATGACCTCCTACAGCCTAGTCCTGGCACCCTACACTGAAGCTCCCAGGTGCTGTCAAAAGGTTGTGCAACCCGCTCAGACTTCATTCAGCTGAGCTTATGAGTGTCAATAAACTGGCCAGGTGCAATGGTGGGTACCTGCTACTGCTTGCTGAGTAATTTGTTACTGCCTTCTCCTGAATAGATGCTCGTCAGCCTCACCCTGGGTTAGCTGAGCAATCTGGGAAAGGAGGATGGTGTTGGCTTAGGTGTATCACATCCTGCTAGGTAAAGTGAGGGGGAGAAAATTGTGACTACCCACAGGGTGTTGCCTTTCTCAGGAACTGTGAAGGATTTCTTTAGTTCTTCAAAATGTCTAGAGTTTTAGTACTTACAATCAGCAAAAATTGGAGTGGAATATCAATGGAGCACAGCTCTCAAAAACTAATTTTCTTTTTCCTTTCAAGCTGACAATGGGATTTTAAGAAAAACTTTGAATAATGGATACACTTTTGAATAATGGATGTTTCACAGCCGAAGTCCCTTGCCTTTTCTTTCTGTGCCTGAATGAGGAGCCTTTTAATTGCACAACACGTGGAGAGAAGGTACAAAATGCTTTGTGTCTTGCGCTGCTGATTAACTGATGCATACACTCCCATTAAACATTCAGAGATGGGTAAGTGTATCACAGCCCGAAGCTGTATGTTATGCACGTTGGGTTTTTATCAGCTAAGAATCTGGCACAAGTTGTTTTGCATTTTTCCTTGTCTTTGTCATGGCTGCTTGTAGTTTTCCTCTTTTTTTGTGGATTCAGTCTTTCCTGCTTCTAGGGAGACATTCTTCCCACATGAGGAACTCACATCTTATGTTCTGGACTCATGTAATGTGGTGTGAGGTGACCTTGTGAAGCAAAGAAGCATCCTGAGCTTAGACCATGGAACAAACTTGTAAATAGGGTTTTCCAAAATAGCAGTGCTTATTGCAAGGGCTTTGCTGAAAGATGATCATACATGATGCAAGATCTGCCCTGGTGTCTGTGCCAGGCTGGATGCTGTGCTATGGATTGATGGCGAATCTGCAATACATGGAGCAATTTGAGCCCCCTGTAAATTAGCTGTGTGGGATGTAGGGAGGGAAATTAGCAAGAACAGAAACAGTAATGGGTCTTCCCTCCTCTTATTCTGTCTGTCCCTGGATCTGGCTCTTCTCCAAGTTAATTCAGCTGTCATGAAAGTTTAACTCTGCTGCAGAAGGGAGAAGATAAGTCACCATGACCCTGAAAAATGTAAAGGGTGGGTTTGGGGTCAGTGTTTTTTTTGTGCTCTTTGTCCTCAGTTTCCCCAGTTCTTGGAGCAGTGCTCAGCACTTTGAGTGAATCCAGATGGGCTCAGTGGAGCAAAACCCTGCTCTGTTAGTACTTCTCTAACTTTTGTCTGCACAAAACACCGTTAAGGCAAGAAACTATGATCCCATCAACTCCCCAGTTTTCTTTCCAAGCACAAATCCAGCCCAGGGACAGAGCCTCAGTGAACAAATACTACTGGAGCCTGGCTCTGTCCTGCTCCCAGCCCTCTGCCTCTTGGCTGTAGGGGTCTGGAGGCTCAACTTACATAGAGAAATCCTGTAAGTTTGGAATATTTTAACTCTTGACATCAGATCACAGAAGTCGTATGGAGGCAGCTTGTTGGGTGGCACAGGGGGTTCCCCTGTGGTCCCTGATATCAGGCTTTTCTCTTTCACTTAGAGGTGTTTTGGTGATACTTGCCCCCACACATTATAGGAGGCTTCTGGACAGGTTTCTGGCTTTAAACAGAGCTTGTTCTCTCTCAATTTTGCAGCTTCATGCCTTAGAGGACAACTGCAATTTAGTTTTATTTCGTGAAATTTGACATGACTTGAGAGTGTGATTTACTGGCCTTAAAGGATATAGTATATGTAACTGTGGAAGGCATAAGTGGCTTTTCATGGTAGAAGAGTCATAAATTGAGATAAAAAAAAATGAGGGAAACATTACTGTCCAACTTTACAAGGTAGCACTGAAAACAGGACACAGTGAAGCCATCTGTAACTGTCAATGGTCTTTATTGTCACTGATTGTGTGTAATAAAGCTTCTGATAGAGACCTGTGGTCTCAAATACAAAAGGAAACAACATTCAAGTGTCTGAAAAGACACAAGATGGCAATCTTTTCAAAAGGACACCTTGGAATATTTCAGGGCTAAAGACTTCCAAGCTATCAGCTTTCCTTGCTCTGGCACTTGCTGTGTAGACCCTGGGAAAGGGTGTATTCAGCTTACTCCCTCTGTGGCCACCAGTAAAGGAGCCTGGAAGTGTGTGGGGTGAGATAGAAATCTGTCAAGGCAGAAGCAGGGCTGCTAGTCCTGGCTTGCATATTCCCATCCAGACAAATTCAGCATCCGTCCCCTGCTCATTCACAGCACGTACACTGTGAGGTGCAGCAGTTGTAGCTGCTGGTGTTTCTTCTGGGGTTTGTTTTGACATCTGCATCCTCCTCTTTGCCTTCTGTCCCCTCCATATCTTCCAACAGACATGGATTCAGAGGGGAGGTCCATGTAACTATCACATGTATGCTTACCATATTTATTGTATATTGAGTTAACAAATCAAGATATTTTTAACCTCAGAATTCGTCTCACTCAAAAATTAATTTTCACTGGTTGAGCAGGGGGTGGTGTGAGGCGGGTGGAAGAATTACCTTTGCTTGGTTTTCAGCATTTGCCTGGAAAATATTTCCAGGACTCTTGGTTTTATATGTTAATTTTCAGCTTAAAGTTTGTAATGCATTGCAATGTGGCAAGGCAACAGGGGCGGTGTGACAGTTTCCAGGCTGCTCGTGCTTGTTTTATCTGCAAATGGTTGAATTTGCAATGTGTAATGATCTCTATAAGGCAGTTAACGGCGAAATAAACATCAATTTTATGGCTGGGAAAACATAAGGGGTGTTGCAGAGAAAAATGAAAGCACCTGAATACTGAAAGCTCTCTGACCTCCTCAATGTGGTTGGGTTTAGCTCTTCCATTTCCTGTGGCCCTAGTGTATCCCAATCCTTTCCCATGGTGGGTCGAGCCAGGTGAGATGCCATGGCAGAGCCTGCCACAGTGGGATGCAGGAGTGGCTCAGCCTTTCCTTTAGTGGTGGGGGATGCATGTAGCAAGGACTTGGTACTCACAGCCAAGAGTTAAAAGATTTTGCTGAAGTGGGAATCAAGTAAGGCAAAGACTTCAAAGTTTTTGGGGGCTTGCTTTGTAATAGGAGCTCATGCATAAAGCTGCAGTTACCTTTTTGTTGCTGCCAGACTGGGGACCTGTACAGCACTCTGTATAGACATGCTTTGATTTTCACAAATACTAGCTTTTGGCGGCTCTGTTTCTTCATTGGATACAATGTTTCTTCTTAATTTACTGCATGCTGAAAGCCTCTGGAATGCACTTAATGTTCTCACCTAAGTCTCAAAAAATTAATAGGCATGTCTGGAAGCTGCTAAATGTGACTGTATGTGTGGGGTCGTGGTGGGAGGGATGTCTCAGTCCCTTGAAGCTGGAAACAGCCTAATGTGGGGAAGAAAGGTGCAAAACCTTTGGTGAAAATTTAAGCCTACAAACTGACTACAGTAAGATGTGAAGTGGTGCCTCACTGGCCCCATCAAATCCACACGATGGTGCTAATGCGGTGGCTGCAGATGGGAGCAGATATTTCAGCTGCTTTAGGAGCCATCACCTTCCGCCCACTGAGATGTCCCTGACTTGGGAAGGCCCCAAATGCCACCCTCAGCTGGAGCAGGGGCTCTTACCACTCCTTCCCTCTACGCCTGGCAGGAATGATCAAGCTAGTTGGTTAATTAGCTGCCATTGAGACTGATTGAGGATGAGGGCTCTCCCTGTGCAGGTGCTCAGCCTACCTGGGAACCTGGGTTCCTGGGTGGTTTTAGTTTTCATGGTCTGTGTGTGATACATAATACGCTGTTAAATGTCTTGAATGCTGACAGTGTGTTCAAGGCTGATGTTTTCGCTCTAAAGAATATTTGAGTTTTCATGTTTTATGTAGCTCATTTATTACTTGCATTTCTGCCATGCAGATGTGATGAGAGATGAGATGGTTTAAATTTTTTCTCTTGACTGTAGCAAGCCCTTTCAAACTCCCCTGTGCTGTGACATGATGCTTAAGACATCTCACAAAAAAATTATGTGTGTATATATATCTCACATTTTTAGGGTGCTAAAACTCAGAGATGAACAAAGCTTCCTATTGATGCCATCTAAAAAAAAAAAAAACCCACCTAATCTCAGAACCAATTAGAAACAACATAAATCACCTAAAACCAGCTTCAGGTACTGAAGCCACCTGGAATTCTCCTCTTAGGTTACAAAGATTTCTGATGAGGCTTGGCTAATTATTCTCACCTGTTATATTTAGTGTGGAGGGGACTGGCCTGCTATGGGAGCCCCAATGAGCTGTGCAAACACCTGGAGGGCATGAAGAAAAATGTTTTCCACCTAATCTTGTTACTGTGACAACAGCAGTGAAACCTTTTAAAGCAGAAAAATACAATTTTTTAGAGATATTGCTGTCCCTTCAGCTCTGTCTGACAAATGCTATCTGTAGTGTGTGCCTGCTTTGAAATAGTCCTGTAAGCTTGATGGCAGTACTATGGCACGGAGCTTGGATTTCCAAGAAAGTTATGAATCTTTTTAAACCAGGTATTTCTTGACTAGAAGCAATGTAGTTAAAGGGCTACCTTCCCCCCCCCCCCCC